TACGGAACGGATGACTGGAGTACACAGACGGGCTGAAGGAGCTGGTTACTTGATAGCACAGCAAATGGAAATAATAGGAAATTCGATCATTGCCTTTGATTATAGTGCAAAATTACGGTTTTCTGTTGTATAATTGAGTTCATACCAGTCGACATAGTTAGCTTTAATCCGGTGGGTTAAACGTTATGCGCCTGACTTGCCTTTTGTTCGTTATGACGAGATAGGTATTGCAATGTTAGATAGGTGTGAGTGTTTTTTTTTATTTTTGGTTTAGAGGTTCCTCTATACTGAATTCGTTTGGCATAGAGTTTTGTCCTCGCTTTATGGATGGTTTCAGAAGTATGGAGTGTTTGAATGAATGAGACGCGACTAACCAAATCCCAATGTACAGCACAAAGACGGCATTAACGGATAGACTAATCTACGACGACGAGTTAATGAAAACGTGAAAACAGTTAAATACAACTAGTATCGATTCAATGAAAGACAGGATGCAACATCTGATGTGTGAGATGGGAGAGAGATAACGGTTTTTAATACATGTTTTTTTTTTGTTTTTTAACATTTTTTTTTGTTTTAACTGCGGGGCTGACCTCTTAATCCGGTGGGCTAAGAGCGCAACATCCGTCTTTCCTATTCTCTATTAATAAAGGGTAGGTATTGCGGCGTAGTATAAGGATGGTTTTTTTTTCTCTTCTAATAGCATTAGAGGTTCCTTCAGGTAGAATTCGTTAAACGTGAAGTCTTGTCCTCTTTGCAGTTAAATTTAGTTTGTGTAATTTTGTTTTATATTGCTTCAATGAGGTTCCTTCACTCAGAACCGCGGTTGTGTGAAGTGGACTTCTTATTGTAAGCTAAGTAATTGTAAGTACATGGAGTGGTTTGTTTATTTGATTCTAGGTTACAAGCTTGCAGCAAGTAAAACTGTGAGTGTGGAAGAATCACGATTTAGACGTTTACACGCTGGGTTTAAGGTTCCTTTATACAGCACCAGTGCGGTGTAAAGCTGTCCTTGATCCAGGTTATTTGTTAGGGAATTTAGTTGTTTGTTTGATCCTTATTATAAACCGTCGTAGTTATCTTATCTCTGGAACAGATAGAAGAAAGCCTGCCTTAGGTGGAATCGTGTGGTCACAACACATAAGCACCCCCCAGAGCCTTTATTAATATCGATTTTCATATTCAATTAAATTATTATAGTCAAATAATTTGACTTATATAATAATTATTCAGTGTAATTAAGTAATTTAGAAATATTTCACTAACTAACAATCAAGGCTTTATGCATTGAATTTTTCTATATTGCGCTAAGACAATTTAAAAGAGTTTGTAATGCTGTGAGATAGTATACACTTGCCATGGAAAAGGAACTTGAAAATATGGCTCAACCGAATAAAACTGGACGAGCTCAACAGTTGGGTATGGAGCAACTAAAACAAATGATGTATATGATGATTAAACGAAACGAAAATTTGGCAATATGGATGACTGAAATGCGTAAGGAAATGGTCGCATTGCGCAGATCTAGGGGTGAAACAGTAGCACCACCAGAAGAAGTAACGTTACCAAAGTGGAGTATACCAGAAATGTTTTTAATGACAGCGCACAGGCAAGATTTACCGGTGGAAGAACGGGCGGATAGTGATAGACCAGACAAACCAGATGATCTTGGTTGTGAAGAGAAAACGTTATATCAACAAGAGGAGTTCTCGAATATTCCACCCTTGATAGGTGATTGTCTGTGTACACGTGAAGAGGAACTTAAAGATTTACGTAGTGTAAATTATGAAGAAATGCCCAGAGATGTTTTAACGCAAGATGTAAACGTGAGGCGAGTGGATGCAATTCAAACATTAACCAATAGAAATATGGCAATATAACGTTACCATAATTTATTATTTTTATGAACTATGTGTGATTGCTTATCGATCGTTTATAATGTTATCGGATGCAAGAACCTTGCAGAAAATGAGAAAAGTGACATCTCGCGATAAGGGTGGTGGAATATGTGCTACCAGTTCTGAAGGCAATATGATTATTGTAGGCACAGGATTAGCCATATTGTTATTTTATAACTTACGAGCGAGAAAATATCTGGGAAGCAGAGTTAACGCATCTCGTACTGTATCACTAAAGTATAGTAAAGGAATAGTTGATGCTGAATATGGAATGTATGGGTTTCAACAAGTTAAATACCAGCAATTCTCACACTGCTTGATAGCACTAGAATAGGTATATTTGCTGTTGGTGGGCCATTACTTGTTTTACTTGTAGAACTGGT